TAAGTGGTAAGTGTGCACGTTATGCTTTGCCCACTTTTCTAAAAATCCTGCATGGTAAGAGCTACGCGCAGAGACTTCGTGCTCTTTTTGAGTGGTTTAAAACCCCGGTTCCGCCTTGGGCACCACTCCTCCTAAGTATCCTCTGGATACCTACTGTTGAGACAGTTCCTTCAGCGCATGCAAAGAGAAACGTGCAATATGGTAGAGTTGGTACTTAGTGCTCGCCATGGTTCTGGCTTGGACTCCCCTCAGCATAGTGGCATGGGTATACCGTTCCCCATAGCGACCCCTAGAGGACGCAGTTCGAAGTTCCCATGAAAGGGAATGTCTCAGGTTACTTATGTAACCATGGTTCCCTGAGTAGGGAACGAGACACTGCGTCCTCTAGGTTTCTTACCATGCTGCGGATGCAAGCTTCAGACGAAGAAGTGAATGATGTGTAGCTCCCGGCGCCTATTTATACTATAGTCGCACCGGTAGTGACGTCATGGCTGTCGCCGGCCAATGAGTTGGTGTTTTTTCAATGTATGCTTCAGACACGGGTCACGACGAGGTGTTCCCCATAGCGACCACTAGAGGAAGCAGTGTCTCGTTCCCTACTCAGGGAACCATGGTTATAAGTAACCTGAGACGTTTGCACTACAAACCAGTATGTTCATAATTAAGACAATACATTAAAATAACATGGTAAGATACACCAGTTTGCAATCGCAAACAGCAAAACAAGCTAATATAGCTGGAATGACACCGGAAGCCAGACACATTAAATTTACAAATGGCCACGCCCACTCTTACAGGAAAAATAAGGGGGATATGTTTATTTATGTAACGTAAACGCGTGATTTTTAATGCGTGACGTGCTTTAATGGGCGTACGCACGGAGCGGAAGGAGTTGCCATGGAAACGGGGCGCAGAGCTGCACATGTCACAAGGAAACACCTTGTCTCTCGCTGCTGTTTTCAGGTCAGTTTAGTCCCTAACATCACACAAATATTACATCTAACTGTTGTTGACACTTCTCTTACTTGTATTTGACTCGCTTCTGTTGTTTATTTACTTTATAGAAATGGTTTAATGTCTTTGAAAAAGTCCGTTAGCATCTCTACCGTTTTCAGACGACGTATCGTTAGGTAACGTATGCTAACTCTATGTTGTGCTCTTATTTATGAAAGTTTGGGCTTTTAATCAAATCTTTATGTCTAGATGAGAGCTTTTGACCGTTTTGTTGCGGTTTTGCTGGTAATTTTTCAATGGATGATTGGAAATTGCTTAATTTATTTAACCTAAACCTTTTACACTTTGCTGTTTACCGGTGACATAACGTTATCAAGGAGAGCGAAGATTGGCTGAAAACTAATCTAAAATTGTTTTGATCTTTTATGGTAAACAAATATTGATAAAACTGTTCTGTGATTTCAAGAGTGACAAAATAACCATTCTACAACAGAAGGGAGTGTCCAAGATTTCAACATTTCTGAAGGGAGCTTCTGACAGAGATGTAGGAAACGCTGAAAAAGCTCATTACATAACCTAATATGCATTTTTCACATATCTTCACAACATTTCGCCTATATCACCATGAATCTGTTATTTGCTTTTGGAAAAATACACCTTTTTGATTTATTACAGATATTTTAAGAAGGTTTTGACATCCTAACGCTTCGCGTTGACACCATAGGCGCTATATAAAATGAACAAGTAAACCTAAAATATAAATTCTGTTATCTTAAGATAACAGAATTTATGTTTTAGGTTTACTTGTTCATATTTTATTTATTATCTTTTGTATATATTTAATATATTATCCTTTTTATTTTTTTGCATTTCACCTCTGCTCTAGTGTGTTTCCTTCTAATAAACCTGGAACTGCATACTAAATATTGTTGGCTCTGTGTCAAATTGCTTGTTTTGTTCCTAGATTCTTCAATGCTGACGGCCTGCTGCACCCCAGCAGAGCTGGAGCGAACCTCCTGTCAGACAACATCTCCAAGATACTATTGACCATAAGACTAGTGAGTCAAATCTCAAACATACACTAGTGTTCAAAAGTTTGAAGTTGATTTTGTAATGTTTTGGAAAGAATTCTCTTCTGCTCACCTCTGCAATAATTATTTGATTAAATTAAAATATCTTACATACACCAAACTCTTGAATGGTTGTGTAAATTACAGTTATGACGTTCCTCCCACTTAAATTTTATGAAATGATACTCTGGCATATGTAGTCCATTCTATAGAGACTGTGTCTGTTCCCCAAATACTGAGAGCAAATCATATGTTTATTAAGGGATCTAGAAACATTCTGCATACTCTTTCAGTTTAAAGCTAGATTAAAAACACTTCTTTTTAGCCAAGCATTCACAAAACACATGTCATAACCTTGTACTCCATTGATGAAATAGTAAAAAGTGCTCATAATTTTTTGCCTGAAATATTATGAACAGCAGCTATGCTAATCTTTCTCCCTTTGCCTTCCTGTTTCTCTAAATGTCCATCCCAGGATTATTAGAAACTTCACAGCACCAGGACTTGTGGGGACTTCAGATGATGCCAATACTCAAAAAGACCTTAGATGATGGCAACTATAGATGGACATTCAAACTACCACCACTGCAACAGACTAGGAAGTCGAACACTGGGTTAAAAGATGCCTGTGGTTGAACTGGGTTTTGCAAACATTCTATATCTGCAAACATAATATTTTAATGCTTTAATACTGTCAAAAATACATAAAGCACCTTTAAGATGTTGTCTTCTCCTGTCTCCAGGTTGTTGGTATCAGACTGCTTTTTGGCTCTGACCCTCGCTTGCCCCTGGCCTCGTGTCTGAATTACCCTCTGGATTGATGTTTTCTTTGGACTGCTTTCTGGTTTTGACCCCTGCCTGTTTCATGGACTCCCCTTTTGCCCTGCTCATGGTTAGTTAGCTAGTTATCGAACTGTTGATTTGAATTCTCTGTTTCTTTGACTCCTCTTGCAGAAATTTGTTGTGCTCCTCTGGTTAACAGTGTAGCAGTTCAGTGAGAATAGTTGAATGTATATACTTTATTGGAATTCTGTATGTATCTGTTATAGGGCTGTGCGATTAATCGAAATCGAATCACAATCACGATTTGCTAATTGCGATTTGCTAATTGCAAAACCTGCGATGTGGACGCGATATTACTCTTCCAGAGCATATGCATGACTGCCAGCCTTGTGTGGCAGTCTTACTAACCAATAGAGTGAGCGCACCTCCATTCTCCCCAATCAGCACTGCTCTAGCCAACTGCGTAAACACCCACCATTAAAAAAAACAAACAGAAAGCGGGAGAGAGAGAGTGTGTGTGTGATTTATGACTATTGATCTAAAGGGTCAGATCAATAGTCAGGCAAATTAATACTAAAGAAAAAATGATGTAATATGAGATTACTTCGGCTTCGAAATGACAGACATCAAACAAAAAAGGTAGTGTTAATTTGCAAGAGCTGTGTCACAACACATATCAAGAGCTCCCTTATCGGTTCTGCTTTCAGTACTGGAGAGTAAAAGATACATTTCTAGATGTTTTTATTAGTACGTATACATTATCTTGCACATTTTATCTCCCCAACAGATTCTAATTTGAAATAAGTTTATAATGCATGTTCGCTATTCCCAATTCAGAAGACCGCACACACAGCCTGTGTCTCTGAATGCTTCTCATTCTCGCTCCTCTCTGCCGCGTCTCACGGAGGATCTGTTTACACTTGCCGTACATACGCTGTTTCGTAATGCTCGTTTATACTCCGTATACTCCACACCGCAAGCCTCTACGAGCACATCTGGCAATATGGACAAGGCTTGACGCACGGCTGCAACCTGTGTCAACTCACGCCTGTCTCCGTATTTAACACAAATGTAAATTCAGTTTAACTGCTTTGCTAATTTCACTGGGAAGAAATGAAACATTCAGCACATTTTCCACTTGTTCTTAAAATCCCAAATACTTAAAAACGAATAAATCATCCTATTCCTGTGAAATTCAGTAATTAAGTAAATTCTGTAAAAGTAATATTCCCTGTTGAAAAAAACAATAGAACCCCTCCCAAAACACAATAGAAAATGTTATGGATTTAAGGGTTATAATGGGAATTATATTGGTTTTAATGTAAACTATAATGGTGTCTACTGGTATTTGATGGATTCTATTGGTGGGATGTAAACTGGCAGATGGGAAACAATAGAACAGTAATTCCTATTGGAATAATGCCCGAAACACACTACAAAAAGGAATTTTGTAATTGTTTTAATGGAAACCATAAGAATTTCTGTGATGGTTTCTATTGTTTTTTTCAACAGGTTAACGAAACCCATACTGTGCTGCACACTATTGACAATATTAAGCTGAAGCTTGACTTTGCAAAATTAAAATCGCAAATCAAATCGCAATATCTGTCAAAAAAAATCTAGATAGATATTTAGATATTCTCCCCAAATCGCACAGCCTTAATATATTATGTGATATACATGTCATGTGTATATGTTGTCTTTCATTTACTAACTTCTTGTTTTCTTACAAAAAAAACCTAACACTAGCTTCTCTAATCTTTTTGTATTCTATCTATCTATTTGTTTTGTTTTTTATTATACAATTAACAAAAGTAAAAAAGGCCTCTAAAGCTAGCTTGCTCTATTCTTTTTCTATTCTATCTGTTTTCTTTTTATTTATTATGTAATAAAAAAAACTTGCTACGTGTACTGTTCAGCTAACTGAGACTTGTTAAAACACTTGCATATCATTGCTCTTTTGTTGATTTTGATTGCTTCCATTGTCCTCATTTGTAAGCCGCTTGTAACTCTGCTAAATGACTAAATGTAAATGTAATGTAAATGTGTATTTAACTAGATTTATAAATATTTATCTGTATTTTTTATTTTGTAGTAATGTAAATGTATTTGTTTTATATCTATATACATGCATTTGTATTTATGATTTCTCTCTCTATGTATATATATATATTTTAAATATCTGTATTTATCTAATTTTGATATTTTAATAAAGCAGTTTAGACTATATGAGTGTTTTTTTTATTCTGGATGAATTACATATTCTTTTGTATCTAGAAAGGGTAAATGTGGGCCATATCTAACCCAGAAGTCAGCCACATCTGGACCGGATCCGGTTCAGTTGTGGCTGACTTCTGTCAGCCAGACTCAGGTTGAGTCATCGCCGTCATTCCACGCGGTATGTGGGCCAGAAGAATGTGGGAGATGTGGGCCAGATGTCATTTGCTATCTGGGGGGTTGTTTTTCATGTCCCAGGTTGAAGCGAATACCCCAATGTGTATTTTAGCTCCCGGAATGCAATTTTTACCGGGAGACCCCCTCGAAATGCGGATAGTTTGGGCTAGTTTTGAGTAACAATTGGACGTGTTTTGTTATGAAAACCTGCCAACCCTTTCCCTCAAGCATATATCGCGTTATTTACACTCACGTGCTGTGTTGCTAATTAACATGATATAAATTCAGCTCTGTTGTTTTTATATGAAAATAAATAAGATGATCAAGACACTCAAAGTGCTTGCTATTTAATTCCATACGAAAGGCGTATTTATCATCCATTTTTACTTTAATACAAACATGTATCTTAGATTTTTATAGAAATATGACAACCATCACATATCTCACACAGAGATCGCATAGTGTTTAGGAATATTAAAGCATAAATACATAATCGCATCAAATCAGGTAAAAAAATTAAACATTTTAGAAGAGAACACAGCATCACGGTTGTCTGAACCAATCAGCATTAAGCTGTGTCGTCAGTCAGTCGTTTCCCATCATGCTTTTGATCAGCACAGTCGGTGGAGAGCAACTGCTCGACTGCACAATCCGACACAGCCGCCTCGCCGTCGCATAGTTTTTTGGTACACATCAGCATGACAGCAGAGCAAGTCGGACGTAACTCGGACATTTTTCTAACTGGCATGCATTAGGGATGGGCGATACCCCTTATTTTGTTTTCGATACGATACCGATATTTTTCAAGGCAGTATCGACGATATCGATACCGATTCGATACTTCTGAACTAAACTTTTAAATTATGAAATGTATTAAATTATTAAATTACTAAGAGTAAAATGGGTAATGATTAGCACTTAACTTTATGTTTAAAACGCATTTTAACATTCAATACGCCTTAATTGTAACTTATTAGGTTGTATTTTTGTTACACATGGTTCAAATATGTTTTTTGTTTACATATGATTCAAATCTATAAATACTACAGTTGAACTATGGTCACTTTAGTAAAACCATGGTTCATTTTCATAAGGGACTGCCAGTGACCGGCTGTTGCATCCATAAAATGCAACCTTTTTATTCTGACAGTGTATGATTTCTATTAGCATTACAGAATAGAACATGATCAATATTATCTTTCAACGTTCAATTTAAATAAAAGTAATTTCACAAACTATGTAGGCTACAATTTCAGTTTGTTTATTGTGAAATAACTCTGTCCTTCTGTCCTGTGATAAGCATTGTTCAGGGCTGCCGTTCCCAAAAGCTTTAATGCTTTCTTATGATACTTTTGGGAAACGCAGCCACGTTTGAATGCACTGTCATAAGTGAGTGAATGCTCTCTGTGATTGATTAGTTCTGTCTTGAAACATTTGCGTGTCCAGATGAGCAGGAAAATAGTTATATCCTACACAATTACTCGCTAACAAAGGTTATTCGTCCAATTCATTGCATATTTTTTGTTTGAGTATCGATACTTTCGATCTCGCGTCAGACCACATGTAAGGATGAATTGGCTGTTGATAGCCCCTTTGATTTTGATTGCCAGTTAGATTTTAAACCCACCACAGGGTGTCCGGTAAGAGACTTGGTTAACAGATGCAGTCAACAGGTGTCTTATATCTGGGAATAACCCTTTTATTCGTCACTACAACACTCAGTTACTTGTCGGGTGTATACAGGTGTATGTGGTTTTCTACAAAACACAGAAAATGCACATAAGTATAAACATACATGGTAGTAACCTTAGAAAACAATGTTAGAAAACATATACATACTGAATAGTGGATTAAATACAGCTATTTACGGATTATTTAGGTGGAACGAAGCTTGTTATATCATACATTGCCATAGATTAAACCGCACACAGCTTTGTTATCCCATAGACTAGAATATAGCTTAACAGCTGTGCTTTGTCTGGGCTTGTCCCACGCACATGCGCATTAGGTAATTTACAACTTAAAAATATTTAAAAATGAAAGCTTTAACAATCAAGTGAACCGAATCATACATGAAACTTAAATAAATAACATCAATATGAACAACTAAGCATAAAAGTAATATAGATTGCAACATCAGTTTAAAGACACGATCGCCTCATGTTGCTAGCTTACATACACTAATGTACATCGGAACGGCAAAGGTATATATAAAACAGATTAACGTAATGCACATATGATAGTTACAAAGATCAAATATCACACACTTACTTTTCATTGACGCACAACACCCGTGAAAGTAATAAACATATATTATGCACAACGGCAGAGGTTTAATGACCGCATCGGCGCTCTG